ATATATATATATATATATATTTCTATAAGTTATTTATGGAACAACAATATCTATACAAATTACTACATATGGAATATAATCAATTAAACATATTAATATTATAGAACGGGTTTCCAGTGGCATTATAGGAATGGTTTTGTTTCCTTGTTTTCTCTTTGAATTCTCCTTGCATTAAGTTCAGGTTCCCCTGTGTTTGTTTCCTTATGCTTTGTTTGAGAGCGGCCTCTGCTGCTGAACGCCTAGCTAGCATTTGTCTCACTTAAGGGAGATTGCAGTCAACTTAAGTGCTGCATTTTATTGGCTGAGGATATGCGAGAAGAACAACGAAGGCAGATAGCCTGTACAAATTTTAAAACAATCAAACGTTCCTGATGCGCTTACAGTTTTACCTAACCTGTTAGCAAGATATATATATATATATATATATATATATACACGCCTTATATGTATTTATAGTGTATATATATACACTATACATATATATATATATATATATATATATATATACATACACGCATACATATAGCTTGCCTAATTAAGAACAAAGAAGGCACTTACTAATGCTTGTTTGCGTTTGCGTAGGTTTGTTCATTTGTCTGTATGAGAGTAGGACTCTTTTCCTGTTAATTTTGTTTGCTGTTTTGCTTTTTTGCCTCTTGTTTTTTCTACTTCGTGTACTTGTGCAGTTTGTCTGTGTTTAGTTCTTATCTTGTTTTGTATACATACATTTGTTTTGGTTCTCTCGTTGCTTATTTTGTCTTGCTCATTTACACTTGTCTTGTTTACTTCGTCTCTGAATAATTTTCTCATTCGTCTATCGTTTGTTGCTTCCGCAAGAAAGAACAAATATACCTTATGAAAACTTGTTTGCTTTTCATTTGAATATTATTTATTATGTTCATTTGTTTCGCGGAGGAGAAAAGACAACATCTAAGTCAGAAATAAATGCATTTGCTTTTTCCTCGCTCTGTCTGGCGAAGAAGTTCTTCATTACCATCAGTATCAACCTGGTGTTCTGCAGCAAAAGGAGGCAAACAAGGAGAAAGACAGGAGATGATAGAGGGAACCCAAACCCTCAAGGGTTGAGGGTTTAGGGTTTAGGCGTTGAGAAGGGTTTAGCAGGGCGTAGTGGGGGTTAGGGGTTAGGGTGGTGCGTAGACGATGCACTCATATTATATTAAGGCGTATAATATATGAAGCAATTGAAAAAAGGAAATATGCATCAATTAATAAATACAATATAATGTAAATACCTGCACGTCGTGCACTCTATAGATGTCTACGCATGCATCTGGGTTACGCATAGACCAGCAGACGACTCCAAGCCCTGCAATATCTCTTTGATGCATTTCGCTTTCTTTTTCTACTTTTATTCTCCCAGCCTCTTCTTCCCTTCCCCAGGGCCCTTCCCTTGTTAGCCCTTCGGAGATAGCCCGCCCGATGAATCTGCAAATAAACAAACAGAGAACGAAATGTACGAACAAAAAAACAAACGAACAAACACGACCTGGAGAACCAAACACAAAAACAGACAACATATTGCATATGAACAAACAAACAAACAAACAAACAAACAACGAGAGAAACACAAACAATCAAACACCGAACATGAATAATTCAATTTTTAGGGGCACTGGAGGTATAACTGCCCGATTGATTATGTCTTTTACAATATAATTTTGATAAAAATATAACGTACACACTATACTAATTCATATTTGAACAAATATATATATATATATATATATATACGTATTTATTTACTTATCTATTTATTATTATTGGAGCTGCATGCAGAATAAAACAAAAGAAAAATACCTCTTCCTTGAATGACCAACCAGCATGGGCAAGCCACTGGGCAATTTGCGGCGAAGTTCAGAGATTCGATATAATAAATCGAAATTTTGTTTGCTTGTCTTTGCAAACCCCAATCCAATATCAACAATAATACGCCACCTGCAGGAGAGAAAGATGAATGAAAGAAGAAACAAAGAAACAGACAAAGAAGGGAACACAAAGAAATGAATGAAAAAGAAGCCCAAAAAACTCGAGATATTTATTTAATATTAAAGCTTATAATCAGTTAAGATCAGCGGATTAGTATTCGATGCTGATGCTTCTCCAGATCCTCCGCACCGTCATTATTATTATTATTATTACTATTATTATTATTACCATTATTAGCACTATTATTATTATTATTATTGGCACCATTATTATTAGCATTATTACTATTATTATCACCATTATTATTATTATTATTATTATTATTATTATTATTATTATTATTATTATTATTATTATTATTATTACTATCATGATCCGCTTCCTCTTTGTGGGATGTACGTACCGGGGAAGTCCCATTTTAATGAGGGCATTCGTTTTATCGGTTAAGTACTCAGCCACTTCATTAACGACGTCGTCGTAGGTTGCCTACGAACCGCCAACACGCGAAGGAAAGTATATTTGATGAGTGTTGATACTCCTGCGTTTGTTTGCAGTTGCAAGCAGTGTATGTACAGCTGATTACGATTAGGGGAGACTCACAAGACTATCCATTGTCTGAGGAGTTCCTCGTGAATGCATCACAACAATAGGATATTTCTTTGCTGAAACCAAACGAAACATTTCAGGATCTTCCTCCCCCCCACTGACGTCATTAATCTGCATGAAAGAACAACAGCAACAGCAGCAGCAACAGCAGCAAGAGCAGCAGCAACACTAGCAACGCATAAACCCTAAAACTGATGTTCATTAATCATCTCTATATGTTTATCTCTGCGTCTCCCTGCGTGCACGCTGTGCTGGAGTGTACGTACACCTCATTTCTTACAAGATCTGCTCCTGCAGCGACCGCAGCATCAGCAACTGCTTTCCTTCTTGTATCAACAGAAATAACTATATCTTTGCTTAATTTCTCCCTTAATCCCTCAATAACTGGAGCAACACGCTCTATTTCGGAGTGTACAGACACCTCCTCTTGTATGAACGGGTTCGTTGCTTCGCCTCCTACATCAATAATATCTGCTCCATCCCACACCATTTCTCGCCCTTTATCCACAGCTGCTTGTATATTATTATAATATTTACCACCATCACTAAAAGAATCAGGAGTAATGTTTAGTATACCCATTATTTTCGGCTCATTGCGATCTCGCAATAAGAAGCCTCTGAGGTTTATTAGCCTAGCAGCAAACTCTGGCAGCCCATTGGGAGAACCTGTAGAAGCAGTTTCTTCTAATCCATATCTTCTTAGTACTTCTTCTATCCATCTCAGTGTATCACTGATTGATGCTTCAGCTGCAGCCCCTTTTATTGTCCAGAGTTGATTATCATTAGGTGCGAAGCAACGACGAGGCACTGCGAGGTTTCCATCCAGTGTATATACATCTGCTTTTCCTTTTTTAGAAGATTCAGAGAAACAACTATTTAAAATATCTTCTCTTCTTTTTAAATTCTTATATAAGGCATCTTTTATGCTCTTTCCCTCCACCGGATGCACCAAGTCTGGCTGAATATCGCAGAGGGGAAAGAGAACGAAATTTCTCTGTAAAATACGTGGATGAGGCAGCGTAAGTTTCTCTGAGTTTAATTGAATATGCTCAGAATTATCCTGTGTTTGAAAGAACAAAAGATCTAAGTCAAGAGTCCTGTGCAGACGCACAGCATTCGGCGATCGGTCTCTACCATGTTCGCGTTCAATGGTTTGCAGAGCCTCTAAAACAGCAAAAGGGCTTTTTTCTTCTGTTTTTACCCGCACAACTGCATTAAGATGCAGCGGTAAAGAGAGATCGTGAGCTTCCTTATTCTGCTGCTGCTCTTGCTGCTGCTCTTGCTGCCGCTGTTGCGGCCGCTGCTGCTGTGCGTACAGCACATCATACCCTGGCAACGACTCGTACAGACAAGAACATCCATCAATAATGCCTACATTCTTTTGAATACTTTCAAGAGCACTTTCAATTGTCTTTAAACGCAAATTTCCACCGAAGTTAGTTCCAAGAGAAATATAAGCCACCGACCGTGCCGCATTCTGAACAGAAGAGGAGGAAAGGTGTTGAATATTAGGCGAAGTAGAAAGTAATCTGCTCATTTTAAAGAAACGTTGCAAAAGAAAAGAAGAACTTCTAAGACTGAACATCCTCAGGGAAACAAAACAAGAAAACACTCCCACCGAAATGGTCTGTCGATACAGCCGAGAAGTGCAGACGACGCAGGGAAACCCATCGTCCAATATGAGAAAAGAAAGACCAATCAATCAAAAAAATCAATAAAATCAATAAATTATTAAAGTAATCATTAATTTATTCTATTTCACCGTTAAAACCTAAAAAGGACTAGTAGAAGAACGGCTTTGAGACAAATTTCATGAATGGCTGCATGCACTACCCACCACTAAGCGCATTTTTCTACATCTTATTAAAACGAAAAAATCTCCTAAATAAAAAAAAGAATTTTAAATTGAAATTAATCAAGTGCTTCAATTTTAAAGCCTTTATTCAGTTGCAGTCCGTCGATACTCCACCGAGGAAGAAAGACACGACTGCTCCCCAGGGAGTTGCAGCTCCTTAATGGGTTTCTTCGGTTTTTTGCATCAGAGAATATTAAAATATTAATATTAATAATTTAAACGCATCTTACTTCGTTTTTCACTGAATTGTGTATATCTGCACATACACTTCAGTTGCATCCGCTGCAGTGCTCGGCCCAGAAGCCCCACAGCTGCATGCATGCGACGATCTTGGGGCTTTTACACTAATCTCGTTGAATATGAAGACGTATAATGTTAATATTTACGTTTAATATTGAAAATTAAATTGTTTATTTACTGCGGATTCTGGCTGTGTGTTTACTGCGAGAAGATTTGCTTGCCTACAGCTGGGGCAGGGGGTTCAGCAGCACACTGCCTGCGGCTGCGCTTCTATCTTCTCTTAGTACGGCTATTTTGCTTTTTATTTATTCATTTTTCTTCTTTTCTCTGCATGCAAAATGACAACCCCTGCAGCCCCTGAAGGCAAGCAGGGGGCGCCAGGGGCCCCAGGCGGCGGTGGTTCTTTCGTACGCAGAGATCAGCTCATACAGATTGAAGAAGAAGTTCAGAAACTATGGGAGAAGGAGAAGCCGTATGAAGTAGATGTGGGGCGTTTACGACGCACCGAGATGGTGGTTCCTAGTGGAGGGGTCGCTGCACAGAAGAACAAATTTTTCTGCACTTTTCCCTATCCTTATATGAATGGATTACTCCATTTAGGTCATGGGTACACACTGTGCAGAGCAGAGTTTCAATCTCGTTATTATCGTTTAAGAGGAAAGAATGTCCTGTGGCCTTTTGCTCTTCACTGTACGGGCATGCCTATCCTTGCATGCGCTGATAAACTTAAAAGAGAAATCGAACAAAAAAGAAAAAACTCAGAAAAAGAAGAAACTAAAAAAGGAGATGAAGAGGTAAATATCAAACAAATATAAATATTATTTTACAGTCAACAATTTAAAAGCATACACCACACACACAAAACCCTAACCCCTATGCACACAGAACAGAGGCACAGTAAGGCTGCATGCGGTTACTTGCAAACATATGCACTTCTCCATTAGGGTTTAGGGTTTAGGGTTTAGGGTTGCGGCCGCGAGCGCTTGCACACACATGTATCTGGAGATTAGGGCTTAGGGTTTAGGGTTTAGGGTTGCGTCGGCGAGGACATGCAAACAGATGCACCTCGCATTTAGGGTTTAGGGTTTAGGGTTTAGGGTTTATGGTTGCGTTCAGGGAGCTGACGGCACTTCGGACCCAACTAAGTTCAGCAGCAACAAGTCCAAGCTGGTGGCAAAGACGGGGAATTTGGTGAGGGGTTTATGAAACCCTAAACCCTAAACCCTAAACCCTAAACCCTAACCTAAACCCTAAGCCCTAACCCTAGGTCATAGACCCTCACCCTAACCCCTTCTTCTTTGCGTTTCTTTCTATAGCATGTGGACCTGCGGCGGCAGTCGATAGGGTTTAGGGTTTAGGGTTTAGGGTTTAGGGTTTAGGGTTTGCGCCTTCAGAAGACGCAGTGGGAGATCATGGCTGCTCTCGGCATCCCCGAAGAAGAAATTCCCCGCTTTGCTGACGCAAACTACTGGCTAGACTACTTCCCCCCAAGGCAAGGGTTTAGGGTTTAGGGTTTAGGGTTTAGGATTTAGGGTTTAGGGTTTAGGGTTTGATGGAGCGGATAGGACACATACAAGTTATCTGCGGCAGCGTATTTCCTTCGCGCTGAGTTCAGGCATTGCCCACCAAAACCCCGGGATTTACGATTTGCTGCGCCGCCCTTAGGGTTTAGGGTTTAGGGTTTAGGGTTTAGGGTTTGAGTGCGCATGCAGATGCAAGAGAGATCTGATTCGTCTGGGTACAGCTGTTGACTGGCGCCGCTCCTTCATTACCACCGACAGAAACCCTTATTATGCTGCTTTCGTTCGCTGGCAGTTCATGAAGCTTCTGGTATCACAAACCCTAAACCCTAAACCCTAAACCCTTATTATGCTGCTTTCGTTCGCTGGCAGTTCATGAAGCTTCTGGTATCACAAACCCTAAACCCTAAACCCTAAACCCTAAACCTTCATTTTGCTGCTTTCGTTCGCTGACAATTCGTGAAGCTTCTGGTGTCACAAACCCTAAACCCTAAACCATAAACCCTCATTTTGCTGCTTTCGTTGGAACACTACAAAACACAAGCCCAATATATGTAGCTTAAACATTATTTTCGTTTGCTGCTGCTTCTGCTTCTGCTGCCTCTGCTTCTGCTTCTGCTGCCACTGCTTCTGCTGCTGCTGCTGTTGCTGCTGCTGCTGCTGTTGCTGCTGCTGCTGCTGCTGCTTCAGGCAGCAGGGAAGATATCGTTTGGAACGCGGCCTACAGTAATAAGCAGGAGAGAGCTGCAGGCGTGTGCTGATCACGACAGACTGACGGGGGAGGGTGTGGGGCCTCAAGAGTACACTTTAATTAAACTTAGAGTAAAGACAGAAGAAGCAGAAGAAGCTGCAAGTACACCGTACACTAACCTAATCGACCAGTGGAAGACATATGCAAATACACCCAAAGGCAGCAGAAATCTATTTCTTGTTGCAGCCACACTCAGACCTGAAACCATGTATGGGCAGACTAACTGCTACGTCCTTCCAGAGGGAGAGTAAGTGCTGCTGCTGCTGCTGCTCCTGCTGCTGCTGCTGCTGCTGCTCCTGGAACTCCTGCTGCTCCTGGAACTCCTGCTGCTGTTTTTCCTGTTGCTGTAGCTGCTGCTGCTGTAGCTGGTGCTGCTGTAGCTGGTGCTGCTGTAGCTGGTGCTGCTGTAGCTGCTGCTGCTGTAGCTGCTGCTGCTGCTGCTGTAGCTGCTGCTGCTGCTGCTGTAGCTTTAGCTGCTCCTGTAGCTGCTCCTGTAGCAGCAGCTGCTGCAGGTCTTGCATACATATGCAGGGTTTAAGGTTTAGGGTTTAGGGTTTAGGGTTTAGGGTTTTGTTGCAAACGTAGGTATGGCGTCTTCTTGGCCTTTGACAAACCCCGTGTGAACGTGGAGCAGCAGCAGCAGCAACAGCAGGAGCAGCAGACGCTGCAGGAGAAGCTGGCAGCAGCAGCAGCAGCAGCAGCAAGTGGAGACACTCTGGAGCATATCATGACGCGTGAAGAAGCTCTAGCTGAGTGCAGCACTGCATTCATTTGCTCCCACAGATCAGCCCTTAACATGGCCTACCAGGCAAGAAACCCTAAGCCCTAAACCCTAAACCCTAAACCCTAAACCCTAAACGCTAAACCCTAAACCGTGAACGCTGAAGGATAAACTGACAGGTTACTGTAGACAACGTATTTTAAAAGCCGCGGGTCTTGGGCGTGAGTTGCAGCTGCGTTTTGGGGTTTAGGGTTTAGGGTTTAGGGTTTATGGCTGTGTTGATGTTTGGGGTTTAGTTCGGGTTAGGGTTTGTGTTTTTTGTCGTTTGAGGGTTTAGGGTTTAGTTCCTCTAGAAGCTGCAGGAGATCGCATGCAAGAGCTTCCGCACCCACATTGTCTGTTTTCTATTAGCGGCAAGAGTCTGTTGGGGCTGCCTCTTGCTGCTCCTCTTGCTTCTTATGATACTGTCTTTGCTCTCCCTATGCAAAGTATCTCTCTGGACAAAGGTAATACATTTCTTCTCCTGCTCTTCGTGCTGCTGCTGCTGCTGCTGCTGCTGCTGTCCGTGCTGGTGGTGGTGGTGGTGGTGCTGCTGCTGCTGCTGCAACGGCTGCAGCAGAAAGAACACCTGCAGCACGAGCAACGGTTCCAGCAGCAGCAGCAGCAGCAGCAACAGCAACAGCAACAGCAGCAGTATAGCAGTGACAACAGCATTGATACATTAGCAGCAGCAGCAGCAGCAACAGCAACAACAGCAGCAGCAGTGTGTCTTCTTTTTTCTGTCTCTTTTTACTGCCTTTTTGTCTCCTCTACTTGCTGGCATTATTTATTTCAGAGGTTTCTCTGGCTTTGTTTTATTTGTTTACCCTTCTTTGTTGAATCTTTTATTGATATATTATTTTTATTATCTATTTATGTATTTGTTTATTTATATTTATATATTTATTTATATTTATTTATTTATTTCTGTCTTTGTTTGGAGGAACGGATGTAGTTGCAAGCGTCTCCTTCGCATTTAATTTATTAAAATAAATAAATAAACAAATAAATAAATAAATAAATAAACAAACAAATAAATAAATAAAACATATAAATGAACAAACAAATAAACAAATAAGCATGCAAACAAATAAATAACTTTTTGTTTGTTTTCAGGAACTGCATAGTGACGATTGTTCTCTTTGTGTTTAATTTATGATAATAAACAAATAAATAAACAAATAAATAAACAAACAACAAACACAATAAATAAATAAATATTTTTTTTGTCTTTGTTTGCAGGGACTGGCATTGTAACGAGCGTTCCCTCGGACTCTCCCGATGATTTTATTAATTTAAAATATTTAAAAACAAAAATAAATTATTTACGTGAAGTCTATGGATTAAAGGCCGAATGGGTAGAGCCTTTTAACCCTGTAGAAATTATTGACGTTCCAGGGTAAGCATAGACTAAATAAATAAATAAATAAATAATAAAATAAATAAATAAATAAATAAATATATATATATATGTATGGGTATAGATTTATATATTTATATAAATGATAAAACAGATGGAGAGACAGCAAAGGAATCAGAACGACAGAGATAAAGAGAGACAGAGACAGAGAGACAGAGATAAAGAGACAGAGACAGAGAGACAGAGATAAAGAGACAGAGACAGAGAGACAGAGATAAAGAGAGAGAGAGAGAGAGAGAGAGAGAGAGAGAGAGAGAGAGAAGAGACAGAAAAAAGAAAGAGAAAGAGACAGAAAGAGAAGGAGAGAGAGAGACGGAGACAGACAGCTCATAAAGGAGACACAAAAACAACAACTAGTAGGCTTTTTGTGGGTATTGTTTGCATGCAGTATAGCTGCGAACATTTATATATCTGTCGGTATATTATGTTTATTTATTTTGTTTTGTTAGGGTTTAATATATTTATTTATTTTGTTTTTCAGGCTAGGGAAGCTAAGTGCTGTCTCTGTCTGCGAAGAATTGAATATAACGGGGCCTAAAGACACAACAAAGTTACAGCAAGCAAAAGAAGAAGTATATAAGAAAGGTTTTTATGAGGGTGTTTTATTAGTAGGAAAGCATGCAGGAGAAGCTGTACAAGCAGCAAAAACTGCTGTTCGTGAAGAGCTGCTGCAGCAAGGCTTCGGGTGTATATACTATGAGCCTGAGAAGACAGTAATAGCTCGAAGCGGTGATGCATGCGTTGTGGGTTTATTACCTCAATGGTTTCTGGTGTATGGGGAGCATCAATGGAGAGAGGAAGTTGATATCTTTTTAAATAGCTCAAGCTTTAATGCACATAGTTCGCAAGCTCTTCATCAATTTTCTTTTGTTTTATCCTGGCTTAAGGAGTGGGCATGCAGCAGAAACTACGGCTTAGGAACATATCTCCCCTGGACTCAAGATACAGAAACCCCTGCTCTCATAGAAAGCCTCAGCGACTCCACCATCTATATGGCTTACTATACTGTCGCTCACCTCATTCAGGTATAAACCCTAAACCCTAAACCCTAAACCCTAAACCCTAAACCCTAAACCCTAGGAGGTTCAAAAGCCGCTTTCCTTCGCGTTGGCTCAAGAGGGTTTCCTGTTCTTATTTGAATTGACGTGAGGGTTTTGTTTGTTCGGTGTTGCTGTTGCTATCTGGCTATCTAGGGTTTAGGGTTTAGGGTTTAGGGTTTAGGTGCTGTTTGCTGCTGCGTCGGGGTGTATAGGGAGGCGACATCTATGGAGATACACCAGGGCCCCTAGGCATAAAGCCCAGCGACTTAACCGAAGAATTCTTTGATTATATTTTCCTGTTGTCTGATACACCTCCCAAAGACTCTAATGTCTCACTAGAAAACCTTAATGTATGCTGCTGCTGCTGCTGCTGCTGCTGCTGCTGCTGCTGTTGCTTCTATTGCTGCTTCTGCTGGTGGTGGTGGTGGTTCTGCTGCTGCTGCTGCTACACCTGCTGCTGCTGCTGCTACTGCTGTTGCTGTTTGTGCTGTTGCTGCTGCTTCTGTTGCTGCTGCTGCTTCTGCTGCTATGTTGCTGCTGCCGCTGTCTCCTTCCCCGTCTCTGTCTCTTTTCCTGTCTATCATCTTTATTTTATTTTGTTTCTTTCTTTTATTTTTCTGTTTTTGCTTCAACTTATACGCTTTCATATCTATCTATCTATCTGTATCTATATATATATATATATACTTGTATGTTTATATTTACATATTTTTGTTCGTGTTTATACATTTATTTTTATCTTTCTATTTACATATGAATATAAATACTAATAATCACAGTAATCATATATATATAATATTTATTTATTTATTTATTTATTTATTTATTTATTTATTTGTTTCTGCAGCTTTTGCGGAGTTTGCTCACTGATGTCCTCTCTCTCTCTCTCTCTCTCTCTCTGTCTAGCGCTAATGATAATAACAATTATTATTATACTTATTATTATTATTTATTTAATAATTTATTTATCGATATATTTAATGATATATTTATGTATATATATATATTTATTTATTTATGCGTGCAGCGTTTACGGTCTGAGGTTTCTTCCTGGTACCCTCTCTCCCTCTCTCTTTCTAATTTATTTATTTGTTTATTTATTAATTAATTAATTAATTAATTAATTTATTTATTTGTTTATGTGTGCAGCGTTTACGGTCTGAGTTTTCTTACTGGTACCCTCTGGATTTGCGTGTGAGCGGCAAAGATTTAATTTTTAATCATCTGACTTTCTGTCTCTACACGCATGCAGCAATTTGGAAAAATAGACAAGACCTATGGCCCAGGTAACTCCATATCCTGCTGCTGCTGCTGCTGCTGCTGCTGCTGCTGCAGCTGTTGCTGCTGCTGTTTCTGCTGCTGCTGGTGATGCTGGTGTTGGTGCTGCTGTTGCTGCTGCTGCTGTTGCTGGTGATGCTGGTTTTGGTGCTGCTGTCACTGGTGGTGGTGGTGGTGGTGCTGCTGCTGCTGGTGATGCTGTTGCTGCTGCTGCTGCTGCTGGTGATGCTGTTGCTGTTGCTGTTGCTGTTGCACCTGATGCTGCTGCTGCTATACTTGTTGCCGCTGCTTTGTCTGTTGTTGCTGCTCTCCCTCTGTCGATATTTCTGTTGTTGTTGCTGCTGCTGCTGCTGCACGTGTTATTTCTGCTCTGGATTTCCTTTTGCTGCTGCTCTCTCTGCACGTGCACCCGTATATCAGCTGCCCTATCTGCTGCTGCTGCTGCTGCTGCTGTTATTTGCTGCTAGATCATTTGCATGCAATGGAATGGTGTTAGTGGATGGCGAGAAGATGAGTAAAAGTTTAGGAAACTTCCTTACACTGGAGGAGTCAATTAAACTCTTCTCCGCTGATGCGACGCGTATTGCCTTCGCCGATGCAGGCAAGCAAACCTGCTGCTGCTGCTGGTGCTGCTGCTGCTTCTGCTTCTGCTGGTGTTGGTGGTGGTGGTGGTGCTGCTGGAGTTGGTCTGTTGTTGTTGCGGCTGCTGTAGTTGGTGCTGCTGCTGCTGCTAGTGCTGCTGCTGCTGCTAGTGCTGCTGCTGCTGCTCAACTTGCTGCTATTGCTACTCCTTTTACTGCTGCTGCTGCTGCTGCTATTGCTGTTGCTTTTACAATTTTTGCTGCTGTTGCTGCTGCTGCTTTCGGTGTTATATTTGCTGCTGCTGATGGTGCTTAGTATATCACGGGTGAAGTGTGTTTAATTTTGTTTGTTTTACTTGTTTGTTTTATATTTATATATTTATATTTATATATTTATATTTATATATTATATTTATATTTATTTTGCTATTAGGAGACTCCCTCGATGATGGGAACTTCCAAAGAGAGACAGCAAATAGCGGTGTAACGCGTCTCTTCTTGCTCAAAAACCTCGCCTCAGACTTTGCTGAAAATAAACTCGATCTTAGAGAAGGTCATTAAACCCTAAACCCTAAACCCTAAACCCTAAACACTAAACACTAAGTCCTAAACACTCAAGCGGTAGAGAACCTCGTGTTAGAGTCTGCAGAGGAAAACACTCCATCTTAGACAAGGCCGTTAAACCCTAAACCCTAAACCCTAAACACTAAACCCTAGTCTGATCATCCCCTCGTCAGACAAGGGCAGCCCCACTAAAAACCCTAAACCCTAAACCCTAATCCTGAATTTGTGATGTGGCTTTGCACGATACAGCGCTGAGACTTGGCGGTTGCAGTGGGGAGCGGATTAGGGTTTAGGGTTTAGGGTTTAGGGTTTAGGGTTTAGGGTTTAGGGTTTAGGGTTTTGTGTGCAGGCCCGTTGAATGCGGCGGACGAGTTGTTTAAGAATGAAATGGGGCTTTGCGTTATGTCTGCTGCTGCTGCTTACGAGTCTCTCCAGTTTAGAGAAGCATTAAAATTTAGTTTGTATGAACTTGCAATTAAGAGAGACCTGTACAGACAGCTGGTGGAGAAGGACAAGATGCACAAAGACCTCCTTAACACCTGGCTAGGTGGGGTTTAGGGTTTAGGGTTTAGGGTTTAGGGTTTGGATCAGCAAGCGTTCAATCGCCTCCGCTGCGCAATTCAGACGATGCAGCTTCCCACCCAGTTGAGTGGGGCTTAGGGTTTCGGACCTCGCACTTAGGGTTTAGGGTTTAGGGTTTAGGGTTTAGGGTTTAGGGTTTGGTTGCGTGAGGGTTTGCTTCAGAGGTTCAGGCTATAATTCTCTCGCCGATTGCTCCGCACATCTGCGAATATATCTGGAGCTTCATTTTAAAGAAAAAGGGTTTGGTGATTGATGCAGAGTGGCCCCAACTGCCTTACGATCCAGTCTTACACCGGTAAACCCTAAACCCTAAACCCTAAACCCTTAACCCTAAACCCTAAACCCTAAACCCTAGACAATAGACCCTAAAGCATTACTCTGGAACAACAAAACGTCAAACTGTAAATTTAACACGCGACGGCAAAACCCTGGCGGAGGACCCAAACCCTAAATTCTAAACCCTAAACCCTCGGATTAGGGTTTAGAGTTTCCGGATACCATAGTTTAGGGTTTAGGGTTTAGGGTTTAGGGTTTAGGGTTTATTTGCGGTTCAGGAAGTTCCAAATTTTGTTCTCCAGCGTTGAAGACTTCCGGCGTGCGAAGGAAAAGACAATGCAAGCAGCAGCAGGCGGCAGGAAGAAGGGCAAGCAGCAGCAGCAGCAGCAGCAGCAGCAGCTGCCGAAGCTGACGCATGCAGTTGTATATATCGCCAAGTACGCCAGTAGCAGCACACTCCCGCATCACGGCAGTGCAGCAGCAGCAGCAACAGCTGCTGCTGCTGCTGCACCACCCTCAACAGCAGCAACCACAGCAGCAGCAGCAGCAGCAGCAGCAGCAGCAGCAGCAAGAGAAGCAGGAGTTGGATGTTTGCGTTTTTGCTGGTGTTTTTGCAGTGTATGTGTGGTTGTTATGATTATTTATCCTTCTTTTATTTGCTTCTTTTTATTTATGTTTGTTTTTGTTTGTTTTTGTTTGTTTTTCTGCTGTCTAGAGAGTATAACAAGCTGCAGCAGATGGTGCTGCAGCTGCTGCAGCACATCCCACTGCAGCAGAATGCTCAGGGCCAAGTTGAAGCCCCTCCTGATTTTATTAATTATTTAAAAAATGCTGAAGAGCTGCAGGACTTAACACCAAATGAAAAGAAAGAAGCAATGGCATTTGCTTCCTATCAAATGCGGGTACAAAACCCTAAACCCTAAACCCTAAACCCTAGCAGCATGCAGGCACTCCGGCTTCCATAGGCGTTTTATTTGGAGTTTGTGGATCAGGGTTTAGGGTGTAGGGTTTATGACTTAGAGATAATGGTTTAGGGTTTAGGGTTTCTGGTGTAGGATCTGGAGTTTAGGGTTTAGGGTTTGGGGCTAAGGATGAACGGCTTATGTGGCCTTATGGTTTAGGATTGACGGTTAAGGGTTTAGGGTTTAGGGTTTAGGGTTTGCGTGTTGTGTATCAGGACGAGCTGAAGGTTTGCGGCGCCGCTGCTCTGAATTTGCAGCTGCCTTTTAGCGAAGAAGATTTGCTGAAGACCCATCAATCGTTTTTAATGAGTGCATTGGATGTTCAGTGTGAGTTCCTGCTGCTGCTGCTGCTGCTGCTGCTGCTGCTGCTGATGCTGCTGCTGATGGTGGTGCTGCTGACGCTGCTGCTGCTGCTGCTGCTGATGATGATGTAGCTGCTGCTGCTGGTTTAGCCGATGTTGCTGCTACGGATGATAATGTAGCTGCTGCTGCTGGTGGTCTCGCTGCTGCTGCTGCTGCTGCTGCTGCTGCTGCTGCTGGTGTCGCTGCTGCTACAGCATCAGCTGCAAGAAGAGTTGATGCTTAGGGTTTAGGGTTTAGGAGGTGAGGGTTTGGCGTTTGGTTTGGGGCGGAAGTGAAGCCTTTTGTTTCTGTCTTTACACGGGGGGCTTCACGTGGAGGGTTTCGAGTTAAGGGTTTAGGGTTTAGGGTTTAGGGTTTGCGCTGCAGCGATTGAATTCCGAAGCAGCGAGGACCCCAGCCCCTTAGACACCACAAACTGCCGTCTTCTTGCGAAGCCAGCGAGACCTTCTGTTTTCTTTTGTTCTGCTTAGCTGCTCTCTAAACCCTTTTTTAGGGTTTAGGGTTTAGGGTTTAGGGTTTAGGGTTTAGCGGCGTAAGGGTTTACGGCTAGAGACCGCCGAGGGCGGACTCGGGAGCACTGCAAGCTTTCTGAGGGTTTAGGGTTTAGGGTTTAGGGTTTATAAACCCCAAACCCTAAACCCTTGTGTGCCTTCAGCGCCTCTTAAACCACTCTAGGGTTTTCGCCATTAGGGTTTAGGGTTTAGGAGTTCTGAGGCGTGAAGGGAGACCCTAATTCTCAGAACAGTAGTTTTCTCTCTTTTAACAAAAGTTGCTAAACCCTAAACCGTAAACCCTAAACCTAAACGCATAAATTGAGGTGCAGCTCTGCGTCTGTACGGGGCCCTTCAGGTGTCTCTCTAGACGTGAGGGTTTAGGGTAAACCCGAAGGGTTTAGGGTTTAGGGTTTAGGGTTTAGGGTTTGGGGGGCCTGCCCGGTGCAGTCTTTTGCCTCTGGGGGTTTGAAAGAACTCTCTAGAAGCTGATGCTGCTGCTGCTGCTGCTGTTGCTGCTGTTACCGCTGCAGCTGCAGTTGCTGATGTTGTCGCTGCAGCAGCAGCAGCAGCAGCAGCAAACGCTGTGGCGAGCAGCAGCACAAGATATTCTTTTATCTTGCGGTCTCTCTTCGGGTGTCTCTTTGCGTGTCTGCTGCTGCTGGAGCAGCAGCAGCAGCAGCAGCACGGGGCGTAGGGCGTTCAGTGTATCTGCGTTGTTGTTGTTGCTGCTGCTGCTCCCTAGCAGCAGCACGCAGCGGAACACCTTCCGTGTACCTGCGGTGTTGCTCCTGTTGCTGCTTCTGCTGCTGCTGCTGCGCTCCAGCAGCAGCAGCAGATGCTGCAGCAGCAGCAGCTGCAGCAGCAGCAGTTGAGCGGCGGGGCGCCACGCTGCTTCGTTGGGGTGTATCTACACCGAAGATAGTAGCACGCTGGCTTCTCAATGCAGCAGCAGCAGCCGCAGCAGCAGCAGCTGCTGCTGCTGCGTCTTCTTTGCTGCCTCTTGAAGACAGGGCGAGGGACTTCCGAGCTGCTGCGGCTGCTGCTGCTGCTGCTGCTGCTGCTTCTCTTCCCTGCTCTGTAAAGGCAAGCGACTTGCGGGCTACAGCAGCAGCAGCAGCAGCTGCTGCTGCTGCTTCCCTGTCTTGTGATGTTGCTGCTAGGGACTTACGCGCTGCTGTTGAAGGGGATCTCCCTTTGGCTACTTGCTGCAGCAGCAGCTCTTCTTGCCGCAGCAGCAGCAGCTGCTGCTGCTCCATCTGTTCCTCCTGCAGCAGCTGGAGTTGCTGCTGCAGCAGCTGCTGCTGCACGGTGGCTCTTTGGGTTTGCCTGCGTCCCTGGGGGTCTGCAGCGCCGTCTTCCGCAGCAGCAGCAGCAGCAGCAGCAACTTCAGCAGCAGCAGCAGCAGCAGCAGCCCCTGTAGCAGCAGCAGCAGCAGCAGGCGATCCAGGCCCGTGAAGAATGATGTTATATCTAAAGATCCAAGCAGCAGCAGCAGCTGCAAGATAGGAAGATAGAGAGAGCAGATACAAGCCTAGCTGCACAGCAGCAGCAACAAGTTGCTTCTGCAGCTGCTGCTGCTGCTCTTCTGCTACCAGAGACTCTAAAGAATCTGAAGCAGCAATATCTGCTTTCAATGTCTTCACACTGTAAACGGAGAATATAACCCAAAGAAGCTGCAGAACAGCAAGCAGCCCTGCAAATGCCGTGTACACCCCAGCGCCTCTCCAGTCTGCAGCAGCAGCAGCAGCAGCAGCAACAGCAGCAGCGGCAGCAGCAAGAGCTATTAATGGTGCAGTAACAGCAACAAGAGCTATCACCAGCAGCAGCAGCAGCAGCAGCAATGCAGCAGCGAGACCGAAAGGGAAACGCAAGGAGACTGCGGCGACAGCAGCAGTCCCTAGCAGCAGCAGCAATTTTAGCAGCTGCAGCAACTAGCAGTAGCAGCAACAGTTGGCAGCACCAGCAGCAACTAGCAACAGCCGCAATTAGCAGTAGCAGCAATTAGCAAAAGCAGCAACTAGCTGCAGCAGCAATTAGCAGCAGCAGCAGCAGCAGCAGCAACTAGCAGCAGCAGCAGCAGCAGCAGCAGCAATTAGCAGCTGCAGCAGCAGCAGCAGCAGCAATTAGCAGCTGCAGCAGCAGCAGCAGCAATTAACAGCAGCATCAGTAGCAGCAGCAGCAGCAGCAATTAGCAGGGTGCTAACCGGAGTTGAGAGCAGCAGAGACCCCAAAGTAGGCGACAGCAGCAACACAAACGATCTCCAGTGCAGCAGCAACAAAGTCTACTGTTGTTGCTGCAGCAACAAGCGACAAAACAAACAAGACAAAAGAAAGAAGGCAGCACCAGATGATGAAAAATAAACAGCAGCAGCGAGATGAGCGTAGACGAGAAGGTTCTCTTAGCCAAGCCTTAGGGACAGGCAAAGCGCTTGCTGCTGCTGCTGCTGCTGCTGCTGCTTCTGCTGCAGCAGCAGCAGATGACAAAGAAGACGCAGAAGAAGAAGAAGGAGACCGCAGCATTGATGATGTCTCATTCAAAGGCTCCATAGATACAAACATAACAGAAGGTTTTGTTGCTGCTGCTGCTGCTGGTGCTGCTGTTGCTGCTGCTGCTTCTGCTGCTGCAGCAGAATCAGATGATGAATCATTTGAAGACCTTAGGGGACAATCCCCAGGGTCATCTACCAATTGTGGAGGCTCCATAGGGCTCCATACAGGGCCTAAACCCTAAACCCTAGATCCTAAACCCTAAACCCTAAACCCTAAACCCTAAACCCTAAACCCTAAACTCCCAACCAAAGCAAAGTCTACTCCCTAAATAAAAACCTAAAAACCCTTTATCTTTTTCTCTCTACTCTAAGCCCAAGGGTTTGATCGGAAGCCCCATTGAGCGCCGCCGCCTATGCTCGACGCGCTCTCGCCAAACCCTAAACCCTAAACCCTAAACCCTAAACCCTAAACCTTAAACCCTAAACCCTAATCCTAATCCTTTATTCTTTTCGATGGTGAATAAATAAGCGAACAATAAACACTCAGCCTAGAAGACTTAATCTAAACCGACTCGGGTCTTCGGGCTTGTGTGGAGACTCAAAAGGAAAACCACCCACGATAAACCCTAAACCCTAAACCCTAAACCCTAAACTCTAAACCCTAAACCCTAAACCCTAGAAAATGGAAATTTCAGAAGTCAAACGGCTTTCATATTGGAATTGTTCGAAGCCAATACAACCCAATCACAGCCGAGGGAAGGAAGTGACCCTAAACCCTAAACCCTAAACCCTAAACCCTAAACCCTAAACGCTAAACTCTACCCCCCAAACTCTTCGCTAAGAGTTTGTACAAATCCCTAAACACCTTATTTTCATTCAACTCTAACAATTGTAAGCCTTGTACAAGTCCCTAAACCCTAAACCCTAAACCCTAGACCGGCTCGAAGCCAAAGCCTGGAGCCTCCGCCGCGAATAGCTTCGGAATATAAAACTTAAATGTTTGTTTTTTTTGTTGGAGGGCCGACAAACCCCCAAATCCCAAATCCCAAATCCCAAATCCCAAACCCTAAACCCTAAACCCTAAACCCTAAACCCTAATCCCGCAAGAGGGCGGGCATTTTGATTGATTTGTGTATATTTCTGAGGAAATAAAACATTTATCTGCTTAATAATAGTTGTGTTGTATTATTAATACAGTTGCATTATTAATGCTTAGTATTCCCGTAAGACATAGGGTTTAGGGTTTAGGGTTTAGGGTTTAGGGTTTGATTTGTGTGCATATACAGTCGAAGATAAGATCTGCATTTGGGGGGATAGCAGGGGGTGCACCTTTTTTACCGTATGCTAATTTATAAGGAATAGATATTTGTCTTTGTTCACCTTCTTTACATCCTATTAAGCCGAGCTCAAGACCTTTAATAACTTCTGCTGCACCAAATAAAAATTTTATCTTACCTTTATCAAAACATCTGTACGTTTTCGCTATAAACCCTTTATAACAAACCTCTACACATTTGCCTCTGCTACACTCCAAACCGCCTTTCTTGCTGCTAACCCTCATTACTCTATACTCTACCCCACAAGGCAGACGATAAACATCTCCTTGACTCACTTCGTGCTGCTGCTGCTGCTGCTGTTGCTGCTGTTGCTGCTGCTGCTGCGAGAGAGGGGGTGGTCGTTGCTGCGGCTTGTGCTGCTTCTGCCCCGTTAGCTGCTCAGCTAGAGAAGGAATTCGTTCTGTCTCCTTTGCTAAATGAAGAGATAAAGAACCCTGCTGCTGCTGCTGCTGCTGCTGCTGCTTTAGCAGTTTCTGCTGTCTGTACACCTGCTCGTCCACGAGCTGCGGGGCCTCATCGGGGTCCTCCCCAACCTTCCGCTTCCTGCTGCTGCTGCTGCTGCTGCTGCACTCGTCGGAGCAGCAGCTACAGGGGTGTCCATAAGGCACGAGGGTACCAGCGAGTTGGAGGGCCCAGCTGCTGCTGCTGCTGCTGCTGCCTGCTGCTGCTTCAATCCAGAGCTCTGCGTCTTCCTGCAGCAGACAAAACAGACAATTACTCATACACCATGTCCTAAACCCTAAACCCTAAACAGCAAAGGCAAGAGCAACAGGTGCAGCAGCAACAGCAGCAGCAAAATAACACCAGCATCAAAGGCAGCAGCAACAACACCGGCGGCAGCAGCAACAACAATAGCAGCAGCAGCAGCTGCTGGAACAACACCAGAAGCTGCAGAAGCAACACCATCAGCAACAGCAGCAACAGCAGCAACAACACCAGCAGCACCAGCAGCAACACCAGCAGCAGCAACAACACCAGCAGCAGCAGCAACACCAGCAGAAACAGCAAAAACAGCACGAGGAGCAGCGACAACACCAGCAGCAGCAACGCAACCACTAGCACCAACAGCAACAGCAGCAACAACACCGCCAGCAGCAGAACATCAGCAGCAGCAGCAGCAACAGCAGCAGCAACAGCAGCAGCAACAGCAGCAGCAGCAGCAGCATACCGAAATAAGCATCTTGAGGGGCTGCCTGAATTCCTTGATTCTGGCGATGGGAGCCCTAAAATGTTTTGTCTGCATCATCAGCACCCACGTAGGGGCTTGCTGCTGCTGCTTCTTTTGCTGCTGCTGCTGCTGCTGCTGCTGCTGCTGCTTCTTGTTATTGTGCTGCTGCTGCTGCTGCTGCTCCAGGTAGAAGGGACAGATAGGCACTGCAAGCGCCAAGTGGAGGCGACCCTCCTGGGATCGATATTGGAGACGATCCCCGCCGAGGGTCAGCACCCCCCCTGCAGCAGCAGCAGCAGCAGCAGCAGCAGCAAGTGCAGCAGCAAATGAAGCAGCACCAAGTACAGCAGCAAATGAAGCAGCAACTGCAGCAGCGGGGGCTTCAGAGAGGAAGCACCTGAGATGAATTACTTCACAGAACAAGCGGCAGCAGCAGTAACAGCAGCAGCAGCAACACCAGCAGCAGCAGCAGGGAAGCAAGTCTTACCCCAGAAGGACATTCTGGCAGATGTTATTGTAAGAGCTTAATTCAATATTAGGGGAAGACGAGGGTTTAGGGTTTAGGGTTTAGGGTTTACGGTTTAGGGTTCGCCGCTGCAGCCTAAGCAGGGACCCTAAGAAAACGGAGCAGATGAGGGTTTAGGGTTTAGGGTTTAGGGTTTGGAGTTTCAGAGGAGAGAAAAAAAGAAAACCCTCATAACATTGTATAGGGTTTAGGGTTTAGGGTTTAGGGTTTACGATGAAGCCCTTTAGGTGTTTAGGGTTTGGGGCCTATGCCGATACACTCGAGACATGGGCCCCGCATGCGCCCGAGGGATTAGGGTTTAGGGTTTAGGGTTTAGGGTTTAGGGTTAATGGTTTAGGGTTTTGTGAGACAAACAAAGGCAGCAGATATACTTCTAAGATTTCGGTTTCTTTCTTATCATAAGAGCAGCAGCAGCAGCAGCAGCAGCAGCAGCAGCCGGAGCGGGGGGGGCCCCACAGATGCAGCAGTCGCTGCTGCTGCAGCAGCTCTATTAAGTACTTCAACTTTTTTGCTGCTGCATGTACACCTGAAGTCTCTCTCTGGAGCCCCCCGTCTCTCGTGTTGCTGCAGCAGGTGCTGCTGCTACTGCTGCTGCTGCTGCTGCTGCATCGATCCTTAGGAGCTGGAGCAAATGAACGCTCCTGCTGCAGCAGCAGGCTGTGTAGCAGCAACTGGAGCAGCAGCTGGGTCGGCTGTTAGAAAGCAAATGGCAGCAGCAGCAGCGGCAGCAGCATATAGGCAGCGCGCAGCAGCCACAGCAGCTGCTGCAGCAGAGACAGCAATTCGAAGCAATACCTGCAGCAGCAGCAGCAGCAGCAGCAGCAGCAGACCTTCTTTTGGGCGTGCCTTCCTGACTTGCTGCCACCACCAGCTGCTGGTACACCGCAGTGTCAGCCTCAGCAGCAGCAGCAGCTGCTGCAGCAACAAGTATTCCCGCTGTCTCCTCAGCACTGCAGCGGCAAACGAACCGCAGCAGCAGCAGCAGCAGCAGGGAGCAGCGGAAGCAGCAGCAGCTGCTGCTAGCAGCCTGACGAATGATTCCACGCGTCCTTCGGCGTCGCTGCCCCAGCAGCCGCAGCAGCAACCGCAGCAGCAACCGCAGCAGCAGCAGCAGCAGCAGCAGCAGCAGCAGCAGCAGCAGCAGCAGCAGTATTTGTGTGACGCTGAAGAGGAGGTACTAACTGAAGAGCAGAGACAAGAAAAAGAAAATTTAATTAAAATTTTAGCAAAGAAATTAGCGGGCCCCTTAGCAGATGAAAACGGAAACGTTCCGACAGGTACCCCTAAACCCTAAACCCTAAACCCTAAACCCTAAACTCTTTTCTGCATTAGGATGCAGTACATCGACTGGTATCATTTTTCTTCTTTCTGGCGGCCCCTTTCATATGCCATTGCGCCTCCTCCACCTCATTCTACCGTTTAGGGTTTAGGGTTTAGGGTTTAGGGTTTAGGGTTTAGGGTTTAGGGTTTAGGGTTTGGGTGCAGGGTCTGCACGTCCGGTGGCCATAGAAGTGGATGGGCCTTCGCACTTTTACAGCGGCACTGAGATATACACCGCATATACAAAATTAAAACACCGATTATTAACTCGAATGGGGTTTAAAGTGCTTCATGTGCCTTACTTTGAATGGAGGAGACTCAGGTAAACCCTAAACCCTAAACCCTAAACCCTAAACCCTAAACCCTAAACCCTAAACCCTAAAGAGACTAAAGCGTAGACCCGAAAGCCTATTTTAGGCCCATAAGGATACTGTTTTATTGGGTTAATTAGCGATGGCAGGCGTAGGGGGCTTGTGCAAATATGCTGGAGGTTTAGGGTTTAGGGTTTAGGGTTTAGGGTTTAGGGTTTGGGGGTGTTTGCAGAGGACAGAAAGAGAGAGAAGAGTACATGAGGAAAAAACTTCAAGAGGAGCCAACGGAGTGGTTAGACCCTCAAGATGAAGCCTTCTACAACCAAAGAATGGGAGTGAGGGTTTAGGGTTTAGGGTTTAGGGTTTAGGGTTAGACCCTCAAGACAAAGCCTTCTATAACCAAAGGATGGGTATGAGGGTTTAGGGTTTGCTTCTGATTGCGGCGTTTTTGTGTGCAGCTGCTGCAGCAGCAATACCAGCAAGAAGTAGAGCGGCAGAATGCACAGCAGCAGCAGCAGCAGCAGCAGCAGCAGCATGATGGTATGCAGCCTCTGCATATGCAGCAGCATCCTTCATCCGCAAGCTCAACACAGCAGCAGCAGCAGCAGCAGTGGAAGCAAAACCAGCAGCAGCCACCGCACTGGCAGCAGCAGCAGCCGCAGCAGTGGCAGCAGCAGCAGCAGCAGCAGTGGCAGCAACAGCCGCAACAGCAGACCCCGTGGCAGCAGCAACAGCCTCATTGGCAGCAGCAGCAGCCTCATTGGCAGCAACAGCAGCAGCAGCCGCAGTGGCAGCAGCAGCAG